GGGCGAGGACGGGCGGGGAGGAGGGCGAGGAGGGGCGGGGAGGAGGGCGAGAAGGGGTTAACGGGCAAGGGTGAGGACGGGCAGGCAGGCGCCACGTGTCGGCACGGCGATACCGACCCACTTTACCTTTGTGGAGCGAGTTTTGCTGAAGACATTCCAGAACCTGAGGGTTTCGTCTCCAGCCCCGGTGACGATGGCCTCTCCGTCAGGGGACATGGCCTGCAGAGAGGAGGGAGAGGGGACCCCTCACTGTCTCAGCCCCACACTCTGAGCCCAGGCAGGGCAGGGTCTCTCTGGATGCCTTGGTCAGAAAAGCTGGGAATAACTGTGGGGGCCAGGGGGCTGCTTCTAGCTTCAACTTCTTTTTGTCTTAAAAAGCCCAACTAAATATACAACTCAACCCCGAATGTGCATACACATATGTTTACAGAAAAAGGAATACACACAAATTAGAAAACTCTATGTACACATGTAAAGGTCATGTGACATCAAGTCACCTGTGACTCATAGTGACCCACGTACAGCGACCCTATGCTCTTAAGTCCTGCCCTGTCCTGAGCCAGTCTTACAGTCTCCAATACACCTACCTCCATTACCCCAGTTACTGTCTCAATCCATCTCACCGGAATCTTCCTCTCCTGCACTGTCCCTCCACCCTTCCCAGCATGATGTCCTTCTCCAAGGATTGGTTCCACCTGGCCACGTGCCCAAAGTATGCGAGACAGAGCTTCAAAACCCTAGCCTCCAAGAAGAAACTTGATTTCACCCTCTCCAAGACAGACCTATTTGTTATCTTGGTGACCCATGATGTTCAAGACTCTTCTCCAGCACCACAACTCAAAACCAGATTCTTCTGTCAACCTTAGTCACTGTCCAGCTCTCTGATACACAGCAAGTAACTGGATTAGGCACATCTTAGTGTCTAGACTGACATCGTTGCTTTTCAGCACTCTGGAGAGGTCCCTGACAGATTTTTCCAGAGCAATTTATCTTTTGATTTCCTTACCACTGGTGTTAAAAGTGTTGACTGTGGCGCCAATCTCTTCTCCATGCATCACAGTGCTGCCAATTGGCCCAGTGGTGAGAATCTTGGTCTTCTTGATGCTGAACTTCAATGTACACTGAAGACTGCAGTCCTCGACCTTCTGCAGCAAATGCCTCTGATCCTCCTCAGTTTCAGCAAGCAAGGCCGTGTCTTCTGCAAAATGTAGGCTGTTGATGAGTCTTTCTCCAATCCCAAAGCCACATTTCTCCTCATAAAGCCCAGCCTCATGAGTGATCTGTTCCGCATACAGATTTAAAAAGGTATGGAGATAGGATGCATCCATGCAGTGTCTCCTTGCTCTGTTCTGAGGACTCAATACTGGTCCAAGCATAGGTTTCGTATGAACAGAATCAAGTGTTCTGGGATTCCCATTCTCCTCAAGGTTAGCCACAATTTGGGTTGGGGGTTTGGTTTCCCCCCCGAAGTTTAAGGTTTTATTTTGTTGAAAGAGATGTGGACACCTAATCTTTCAAGGCTGCACAGAGGTGTTCTCATCAAATCACTCCAGAGTCACTATTGTCGTTGTTAGGTGGCGCTGACTTGAGTACTACTCACAGCGACCCTAAGACCAACAGACCTGAACCCGGTCCTGTCCTGTGGGTCCCCGCCATCGCTGCAGGCGCTGTGCTAATCGACCGGGCTCAGCGGCTCCCTCCTTCGCCGACCCTCCGCCCTTCCAAGCATGATCTCTGTCTCCCAGCAACATGCCCCAAACACGGGAGACGAAGCTTCATCATGTTTGCCTCCAAGCAGCACTCTGGATTCACCTTCTCTGAGAGGCAGACATATTTGTATGTTCTTTTGGCAGTCCATAATAATCAGTACTCTTCTGATACTCTGCTTTTGGCCAAGATCCATCTGACATTGGTGACAATTAGTACCACGGCTTCTTCTAAGCCCAGCTTGTGTTTCTGGTAGTTCTCCGTCAAAGTACTGCCCCAGTCGTTTCTGGATAATCTTCAGCAGGATTTTGCCTGCATGTGATAATAATGTTCGGTAATTCCCACACTCTGCACTCTGCCGGGTCACCTTTTTTGGAATAGGAATACACATGGATCTCTTCTGGTCAGTTGACCTGGTAGTCGTCCTCCAAATTTCTTGGCACAACCTGGTGAGTGGTTCCAAGGCCGCATCTGTTTGTTGAAATATGTCACTTGGTATTCCATCAATTCCTGGGGCTTCGTTTTGTTTTGTTGTTTGTTGATGTTTTTTTGCCCCAAGTCCTCAGAACAGCTTGAACTTCCTCCTTCATCACCACTGCCTCTTGATCTTACGTTGTTTCAAGACATTCTTCTGTGTCAGCCAATCCTTTTTGGTTCAGGGACTGTGTACGCCTTCCATCTTCTTTTAATGTTTCCTATATTATTCCATGGTCTGCCCACAGCATCCTTCTGCACTGCAACTCAAGGTCTGAATTTGTTCTTTAGCTCCTACAGCTTAAGAACTGCCGAGTGAGTTCAGCCCTTTTGATTTTCTGACAGACGTGCATATATGTGCTAAAAATACGTACAAAACTCACACACATGGTGTTAAGTGCCATCAAGTCGAAACAGACCCCAGTGACCTCATGTCTGAGAGCCTGACACTGCCCAGCTCCGTGCCACCATCAGCACGTTCCTGGGCGGGCCCTGTGCCAATCCCTCTCACAGACGGTCTGTCACCGGTCGTCCACTTCCGCGAGCATGAAGCCTTTTCCGAGGCCTGGCTTCGCCATCCTGGCCTCACAGGAGCGCTCTGGTTGCACTTCAAGGCAGATTCATTTGCTCTTTTGACAGCTTATGGCACAACCTTGGAAACAGGAGTGGCATCCACTTGTAAACTGCTTGCCTCTAGAAACCCTATGAACCTGGAGAAAGGATGAAAGTCATGCAAGCAAGTGTCGAGGACTTTCTTTCATGGGGTCGCTGAGTCGCCTACGACCTGACGACACTTCATAACACAGAGAGAGACCAGTTGGCCTAGTGGACCAAAAGCAAAGCTACCAAGCCAAAGGTGGGTGACTAATCTGTGGCCCTTAGGCCTGTTTTTCCTTTTTTGTTCAGTCTTCTAGGTCGTATAGTCCTGGTGTGTCCACTTGCCGTACAGAGGTAACTCGTGGTCGCTGTGAAGCTGAACCTGTGACAATGATGTGTAAAATGGGGTAACAGTTACCCCCAGTGGACAGTGTCTGGTGGAGCTCCCCGGATGAAACAAGCGTGGAAGCAGGAGTGGCATCCACTTCCGTAATAGCTTGCCTCAGGAAACCCTATGGACCTGGAGAAAGGACGAAAGTCACCCGAGTGTCGAGGACTTTGGTTCACGGGGTCTCTATCAGTCGCCTACAACTCGACGGCACTTAACACAACAACACGGCACATTCAATACTCCTCATGGCACCACTTCAAAGGCATCAGTTCTTGGGTCTTCTTCAGTGTCCACTTTTCACATGGACGAGGTGACTGGAAGTGGCCCAGCTCGAGTCGGGCACCTCAGTCTTAAAGTGACTTCCTTGCTCTCGAGCACTTTAAAGAGGCAGCAGATCCGCCGGATGCGACGTCTTGATTTCTTCACAGGTCCTCCGAGTGTTGACTCGAGCCTGGAAACGCCAAGCTCTCCGTCCAACACGCCACTGCTTACGCCACGTGTGAGGCTTCTGCTGTCTCTTGGTTCTGAGAGCTGATGTGAGGTCATCTGCACAGGGCAGCTGAGTCCTGCTCCAGTGCTCACGCCATGTCCTTCCCCACCCCACGCAGTCCACACCACACAGCCCACACCAGAGTCCACACCACACAGCCCACACCAGAGTCCACACCACACAGCCCACACCACAGTCCACACCACACAGTCCTTCCCCACACCACACAATCCACACCACAGTTCATACCACACAGCCCACATCACAGTTCACACCACACAGTCCACACCACAGTCCACACCACACAGTCCACACCACACCACAGTCCACATCACACAGCCCTTCCCCACCCCACAGTCCAGCGTCTTGGGGTGTGTGCTCTCTATCCAGATTGTGAACACTCTCTACCGTGACTTGAGGTTTGCATTTTGTGATGTTCAAGTACTCACTGTAAAAAATGGTTTCTCTAGCCACTGACTTTGACTTTGCCAAGTGGACGAGTGGGGACATGTGGACAGGGTGTGTTAGCCTGCCCACAAGGGCACTGGCTAGTCTCACCATTAAACTGAGCAGATGCAGCAGCAGAATTTGGGAAATCTCACCACCAGCCAAGAGGCAGCGGAACAATGTCTGTGTCACGCAGACCAGGTCATGGGAGCGGCAGCCCCAGCCGCAACACAGGACTAGAGACCTGGCAAGGGACAGAGCTGACCTTGGGACGCGACCCCATGAACCACAAGTCTGCAGGAAGACTGGGGTGTGGTGGCCACAGCTGGCAGGGCCAGCAGCTCTGTAACACTGGTCTACCCCGAGGCTCGAGGCTGAGGGGTCTGTGGGCACGTTACCGAAGCTGTCCTGCCTGAGTGACTGGACCTTGCTGCCAACCTGAACTCGAGCCTCTGACTTCTCTAACATGGTTCTGGGAGGGACTCTGGTGGCCCAGTGGCAGGAAGCTGCGCTGCAATCCCGAAGGCACGTGGTTCAAGGTGAGCACGGGAGAAGAATGGGCAATCTCCTCCTGTGCAATTAATGGCCTCTCAAACCCGCCGGGGGGGTCAGCTATGGGTCGGTTCCGACTCTACGTCCCCAACAGCAGCGGCAACAATACGGTCTATGAGGTAGTGCGACAGGTTCAGGGCCCCGTGAAGCAGGATGAGGACAAGGAGGGGCGGCAGCGCGGGGAATGTGTCGGACCTCACGAGAACTGATGTTGGGTTGTGGATGCTGTCAACAGGGACGGTTCCCCAGAGTGACGCTGGTTCCCCAAGTGGGCCCTGCTCACTTTTGAACTCTGTTCTTTCATCCTAAGAAATGCTGAGCATGTCTGTCTGTTGGATCATCTAACGTCAGGTCTTTGCACATTTCATCCCAACCTGACATCTTCTGCTCAACATTTTAATTCTCCACTTCTTCCTTTGACATCAGCTTCTCTACATTAAAGGGCAGGTTTCAGGGTCTCCTGACACCCATCGTCTTTTCTGGCTTTTGAATGACACAGAAGCTTCTTCACGCCTGGTGTCCTCCACAACTTGAGGGCTCTGGTCAGCGGCATTCAGGATGTCACCGCTGCTCCTAAGATGGCCTCTAACTGCCGGGGTGTGCACTCAGGGTTTCACTTTGGTTCTCATGAACTGTTTTTCTGAACCTTCAACTTGAATTTGCATGTGAACAAGTGACGGTCCGCCCCACAGTCAGCTCCTTGGTCTCCCAGATGATACTGAACTGGTCCGCTGCCTCTGCCTGATGCACTGGGTTTCACTCCACCTGGCAAAGTCCACAGGGACACCTGCTGTTTTTGTGGAAAACTCACACTTGCACCACTTAAACTGCTGGTCCTACAAAATCCTATCGTACAAGCTCCAGTGCAGTGCTGTCACCAAGGCTGTGCGTTCCAATCACTAATGCTTGTTTATTTCCGTGATCACATTCAAACCGTGGGGCTATCAATGTGTCCCGACTGCTTGACCAGTTTCACGCTGCCGAAGACGTAGAAATAGTGAAGTTGAGCATCCGTCACGCCTCCCTCCCTCGGGGGTGTGCACATCTGCATCTTGTTCCTGCTGCGGGGAGGTGCTGGCGGGTCCCCTGGCGCTCCCGCCGGCCCTGCGAGCCTCGGCCTGCACCACGCTCACCATCCCTGGCAAGCTCCAGGTCACTGCTGGTCACTCTGTTAGCGCGTCCTGGAGAGGGTCCGCTTCCTCTGACCATCGTTTCCAGCTTGATGCTTTTCCCCCAGACTGGCACCTTGTGAAAACGGGCTCCAACACGTGGACAAAGGTCCACCTTGCTTGTACCTCTAATACGTCTGAATGATCGGCGGTAACCGGTCTGTCTGTCTGTCTGTGTAGGGATATGGTCCTGTCGCTGACAGTGGGACAGTCCATGACAGACACGGAAAATGCGTTTTCTGACGATGAATTCAACACCTCTTCAACCTGCCACATGAACCAGCAGACGCGGCGCCTGTGTAAGGTCACGTGGTGGACGCCGCTGCGCTCCATCTCACTGCACTCGGCAGGACTGCTTCCTACTCGATGCGGTCAACACCGACTACTCACGGAGGGCTGCCACTGTTCCTCCGCCCTGAGTCCGTCACGCCGGTCACTGACGACGGTCCTGAGAGCCCGTCCACCCCGGGCAGGCGGCCGGCTGCCCTGTGAGCACTGCCTCACTCTTCCCCCTGGTCCCGTGTCTGCAGCCCAAGGTCCATCTGCCGGCACCGTATCAGACGACGTCACACCTCCACCCGAGGGTCTCACAGTCCAAGTTAACTATCCGACAACGTCACACTGTCATCCCTGAAGTTCTCACGGTCTGATTTTACCAGAGCCACCTGCCACGTCCCTTCCTATTATCTTACACTCTGGACGTTCTGCTGAAATTGTTCCACCATCAACCACCCAGCTGGGATTTCATTCCCGGGCCACCGCTCCCAGCGCCACCGCTCCCAGCACCACCACTGCCCCCAGCGTTACAGCAACGTGCCAGTCACTATGGCAGCCAGACGGGCCCCTGCCCTGGAAGTCTGTGGTGCATGCAGTGTGTCCTACGCGGTCACCGGAGCAGAAACCGGACAGAGGCCCCAGGGAGGTGTGTCCAGGGTGAACCACGGAAACATCCACACCCCCGTGCTCGGCCTGGACACCACAGCGGGCGCACGGCTTCTCTGTGGACGGTCGTGGTTTAGAAGCACTGTGGAGTGTCCACCAGTGTTTGTTGAGACACAGAACTGGGTGGGCTAGGCCAGGAAGTGGCAAGTGAGGGTTTGGGGGACACTCTTACCAGGTACAGCACGCGGTAGGAGTGCCCGGTCAGCTTGGCCACCTGGGTCAGGGATGGGTACTTCCAGACGAGGATCTGGTTCTGTGAGTATCCGTGTGTGCTGACCTGGGTGAGTGAGAGCAATCAGAAGGTAGGACGGTCCCTCTGGAGTCCAGCACATGGAGCTGCACGCCTCAGACCAAGTCCTGAGCCGTCCTAGCACTCGAGGCAGCCAGACCATATGCTCAGAGTCATGGTCAACGGCCCTTGCCCTCCTCGTGGGCCGTGGTCACCAGCCTGTAGACGTGCATGGACCAGGCCAGGCCACAAGGCAAGCCCCCCTCCCTCCCGTCCTGATTAGCTTGTGGACGTGTGTGGACCAGGCCAGGCCACAAGGTGAACCCCTCCTCCCTTCTGTCCTCGCTAGCCACAGTTCACGGATGTGCATCCACCAGACCAGGCCAGCCCCTCCTCCATTCGGTCCTTGGCAGCTGTGGTCACCAGCTCGTGGACGTGCGTGGACTGGACCAGGCTGCACAGCGAGCCCCTCCCTCCCTCCTTGTCCTCACTGGCTGCAGTCACTGGCTCACAGAAGTGCATGGACTGGACCAGGCCACACAGCGAGCCCTTTCCTCCATCTCGTCCTCACTGGCCACAGTCACCAGCTCGTGGACGTGTGTGGACCGGACCTGGCCGCAAAGCGAACCCCTCCTTCCTCTCACCCTCGCTCATCAGCTTGTTGGCATACATCGGCCTGGCCACACAGTGGACCCTTCCCTCCCTCCCTCTCATCCTCACTGGCCGTGATCACCAGCTCGTGGACGTGCGTGGACCAGGCCGCACAGCGAGCCCCCCTCCCGCCCTCACCAGCTCGTGGATGTGCGTGGACCAGGCCACACAGCGAGCCCTCCCTCCTCCCGCCCTCCCTCACCAGCTCGTTGGCGTGCTTGGACCAGGCCAGGTTGCAGACTTGTGAGCCGGTGTCGATGCACTGCAGCGGCTGCCCTGTCAGCGTGTTCCAGAAGCGGATGCAGCGGTCGGCTGTGCCGCCCCCCGAGGCCAGCAGGCCGTGCTGATGCGGCGACCAGGCGATGGCCTTGACAGCCGCCAGGTGCTCTGTGTACTGCTGCACCGGGGTCAGGCTTGAGTGGTTCCAGACCAGCAGCTGAGGGCGGGGTGGGCGGTGGTGAGCCGGGGACCAGGGTCCCACCCAATGACCAGGCCGACCCCAAGCTGCCCGTCAGTGACCCCAACCTTCAGGGGTTACGCCTGGGCCCCTACCCACCAATGGCCAGGCCGACCTCAAGCTGCCCGTCAGTGACCCCAATCTGTCAGGCTGATCCCGAGACTAGGGGTCAGGCCTGGGCCCCAGGGATGAAGGCCAGGGCCCTGCTCTAGGCTGGACTGTTGGTCGGTGGCTGAGATGAGGTCACCCTGTGCCATCAGGTCCAGGAGGTGTCAGCCCTGCTCTGGCGTGGACTGGTGGCTGGTGACTGTGAGGGGAGGCCCGTCTGTCCCAGCAAGTGTGGGCAGGTCAAGGCCCTGGTCTAAAGTAGAGCTCTGGTCGGTGACGGCGAGGTGGCCACTCCGCCTGGCATACCTTGTTGTCGTTGCCCCCGGAGGCCAGCAGCTGGTGGTCTGTGGACCACTTGAGCCCACAGACCTCCTGCCGGTGACCCTGCAGCCGCCGCTCAGACTGCAGGGGCGGCGTGCGGATGTCCCTCTGCAGGATCATGCGGTCGCGGCTCCCGGACGACAGCTGGTCGGCATTCCAGGCCAGGGCACCTGGAGGGAAGGGGCAGGTGAGGCCGAGGCCGCACACCCGGGTCCCCGCGGGGGCGCTGTGGGCCGGGGCCTCACCGACACGTGCTGTGTGGCCCTCCAACATGGACAGCTTCTTCCCCGCAGCCGCGTCCCAGATCTGCACGAAGCCCTTGTGGGTGCCGACAGCCACCAGGTTCCCCTAGGACAGAGCACGTGGTGAGGGCCCAGTTCCTCCACTGCCCGCGGACCCTGGGCACCCCACCTGCCCACAGCCTCCACCACCAGGACTGCCCACTGTCACTGCTGCGACAGAAACCAGGACTCAAACGTGAATACGACCTTACAGAGATGCCCCAGTTTCCCGGCAGACCCCACACTGCCAGGCCCTGCTCGGAGGGCTGTCTCCCACTGACCCACACCAACGAGCACAGGGTCCTCCACTGACCCTCTCAGACCAGCCTACAGAGGTCACCGAGTCCCCTTCGACCGACAGGTCACAGAGCCGTGTCACCTGGGGAAAGAAGCCAAGAGTCACATGGGCCTGTCCCACCGGTCCTACCCACCTGTCCACTTCATCTACCCGCATAGCGACACCTCTATCTATTCACCACGTGACCATCCGAGCACGCAGCTGTCCACCCACACAGCCACCCACCCACATGTGTATACACACCCACACCCACACCACCCCCTGCAACATCCAGACAACCATCCACACACAAACTCACGTATCCCCCCGTCCGCACTGCCCACATCCCACCACCCACCCATCCGGATCCACAGCTGTCCACCAAGATGGACACACAACATCGTCATTCACAAAACCAGCCAACCACATAGCCACGCATCCACGTGCACTCACATGCCCATGTCACCCACACACCTGTTCATCTGTCCACATACAACCACATATTCTTTCACATATCCATTCAGCTTACACGTCCATCTGTCCGTACATCCGTCCGTCCATCCATCCATCCATCCACACACCCATCGAGTTATCTTACCATTCATCTGTCCACACACCCATCCATCCAGATACCTAACCATTCATCTGACCACATTCAACCATCCAAACATCCTCCATCCCCCTATCCCTTCATCCCCCCTCCACCCTTCCATCCCCCCTCCATCCTCCCACCTCCATCCCCCTCCATCCCTCCAGCATCCACACAGCACAGCCACTCACTCACCCTCCCATCCACTCAGTTACCCCCCATGCAGCAGCCACCATCTTTCACACCATTTACTCCCCGCCCATCCGTCCTCTGTCCAAGCTCTCTCCACCGTCCCTGCATCTGACCACTCCGACATTCAGAGGAGATCACTCAATGAAGTACTCAAGGGTTACGTGTGTTGGGTTATCTGCAGGGACCAAGCCTGAAAGTGTCCCACGAAGCGTCCCAGGCCTGTGCGGGACCTTGCTGACCGGGTTCTCCCTCACTGGTAGGACGGTAAGGGTAAAAGGAGCCTTGTTTCTGAAGGAGAGTGCTGTGGGACTGGAAGAAAGACAGACGGCCCTAGACCTAGAAGCAGAATCTGATGTGCTGGGAATATGTGTCCATGTGAACCAAGTACAAGCACGTCCATGCTTATCTTGCGGACCTGGGTCCAACTGCACCCACATTCCCCCTCCACCCACCCAGCCCTCAATGTCCATCCACACAACGCTACAGCCTCCTGGGGTCTCAGACACGAGCCTGCTGCTCTGGGGGCTTCAGAGGGTGAAGTCGAGGGCTCAGAGTCCTCGACCTGGGGAGCTGCAGAGCCGGGAGGTCGGCCAGCCCAGGGCAGGGTGGGTGCAATGGCTGGTGAAGGCGCCTTAGTTCTCAAACCCCCCAGCAACACTCATGTCTGTCCCGCAGGCCCCCTCCTCCAAGGACCCTGAAGAAAGACCCCCACACACATACACACTACCCCTCAAAGATCACGACTCCGCTCCTTACATCCCAGTCACACCCTCCACAGAAAGGAGCAAACACACCCACAAATATACCCTCACACCCCATATTCACACGCCCCACAAACACCCACAGAAACACACTCTTCACACGTCCCACAAACACACACCCACACACCTCACACCCCACAAACACACTATAGAAACACTCCTCACACGCCCCATAAACATACTATAGAAACACAGTTCTCACACACCCCACAAACACACTCAGACACACCCACAGAAACACACTCGTCACACGCCTCATCCTCACCCCACAGACGTACCCGACTCCTCACGTCCCATCTGCTCACTGTAGCGTTTCCCTTCCAGCATGGCTTTCCTCGCCATCAAATCTGACTTGACCACAGGGGTGGCGGGCGTATGAGAGTAGGGCGTGTTAGCCTATCTGTCCACTGGGGGATCAGCTCTCTCACTATTCCACAAAGGGTTTGGACAATCTCACCAACCTACAAGGGGACTGGCTTGTCTTGCAAATAAATGTGAGTGATTTCAGAAGCAGGACGCCTCTCTCACCACTAGGAAAGGAGAAGCAGGCATGCGGGGGACATCCCTCAGAACGAGACGTTCTTGAGCCACAAAGAGTTACTGCAGCTGCAGCAGCCACAGTCCAGGCAGAGAACGGAGAGCCAAGAGGAGACGGAGCTGACCTTGGAACTGCTACCCACCCGCAGACAGAGCAAGAGCTCACTAGAGGCCTGGCCCACGTTTGCCGTACCACTCGGTCAGAAGGAGGGCAAGTCAATACTGGCAGGACTGAGAACTCGCTAACGCTGGCCTGAAGTCGCCGCGAGCACATTTGCAAGCTGTCCTGAAAACATTCTGCAATTAGCCTGCATTATAACCTTTGAACTGTGTCGTCTGTGAGCTATGACATCAGATTTTGGACCCAAGAAAGTAGTAAGATGGTGTTGGTATGAAGAGAAAGAGGTCTAGGAGTGCGGGGGACACGTCTGACCACACAGGAGGCGGTTTTGTGCTTCTGATGCTGTTGACAGGACAGCTCCCCTTTGTGAAGTCCCCATCTCTGACCTAATAGTGCTGGTTTTTTCATCTAGTAATGTGAAGCTGTATTGTATAAATATTTTTTTTACATTTAAGGTTAAGAGTCTTGGCACCAGCAGCCAGGAAATTAAAAGGCGCATTGCCATGGGAAAGTCTGCTGTTAGGGACCTCTCCAAAGTACTGAAGAGCAATGGTGTCTCTCTGGAGACTAAGGTGCGTTTGATACAGGCCATGGTCTTTGCAATCACTTGTTATGCATCAGAGAGTTGGACAATGATTAGGGAGGACAGAAGGAGAATTGATGCCTTTGAGCTGTGGTGCTGGAGTATTGAGAATACCATGGACTGCTAGGAAAACAAACAGATTTGTCCTTGGAAAGGGTTAAACTGGGTGGCTCCTTGGAGGCAAGGATTCTGAGGCTCCGTCTAACATACTTTAGTCATGTTGTAAGGCGGGACCAGTCCTTGGAGAAGGACATCATGCTTGGGAGGGTGGAGGGACGGCACAGGAGAGGAAGGCCCTCTATGAGGTGGATTGATTCAGTGACTGGGATAATCGGGACGGGAGTGTCAGAGACAGTGCGATTGGCTCAGGACAGAGTGGAGTTTAGGGCTGTTGTACATAGGGCACACAACAACAACAAACAAGGTTAAGATGTCTGATATAAATGAATACTTGATAATGCAAATCTTGACCAGAGTGCAGGTCGGCCCGAGGCTGACTGGACACACTAACAGGGCAGGACGCTCCCTGAGGAAATGTTTACTGAAAGCAGGACTTGAAGGCGTGGGGCTGAGCCTGGGGGAGGGGGAGGCCCCAGCCAGTGTCCCGCTTGTATTTTTCAGTTCTCTCAGCTTGAGGAATGCGGAGCCGAGCGAGTTCTTTCCTCTTTATTCTCCAGTTCCAGCTTCCTGCATGTTCCACTGTAATACTCTGCTTTGTCTCCTCGAGCTGCCTTTTAAAACTCTTTAGTTCAGCTCTCTGACTTCGGCATCTGTTTGGCTTTTTGATGCTCTAGTGTCATTTTCAGGCTCTTCTGACATCCTTTTTTATTTTTCTTTCTCCTCTGTCTTCCTGCTCTCTTCATGGACGATACTCCCTTCTTTTTCGTATTTTGAGTGCCTTCCAGGACTCATCTTTTTCTTAAAAAATTTTTTTAAATTTTTTTTATTATTAATTTCGATGAAAATTTACAGACTTTGGATTTCCACTCATTCACTGACGCACTTTTCTCCCTGTCCACCCCTTCCCCCCAGTACAATCCCCTTTTGGAAAAGTAAAAGAAAAATTCTTTTATTGTTTTACAAT